GAGTTTCTTCAATCTTGAAGAAGGTTTTGGATTAGGGTTCTTGAGAGAACTTGAGAGAAAATGTGTCTAAGTATGGGAGAGGTGTTTTGGGAAATGTTTTAGAGTTGGGAATTGAACTAATGGTATATAGGAAATAACATATGCCCTTTGGAAAAATGGTCCAACACTTAGAAAAAAAAATGAGGCGGGTGAACAGTAAAAACGCTCACTGGAAATTGTCTTTCCTGCCGGACAGATTTTATGAAAATGGGTATAACTTCTTCGTCTGAACTCCGAATGAGGTGAAACGAAGTGCGTTAGGTAGCTAACTCAAAGGGCTTTCCATGGATATGTTATTGGCCACCCAATAATTTGTGTGCTAGGAGATATGACCCTCCAAAGTAGACCCTCGAAAAAGGCTTCACTTGGAAATTTCGGATTTTGATACGGTTGCTCTAAAATTTGGGTTAGACCCATTTCCCACTCAATTTGACCCCCTAAACAAGAATATGAAGTCGGATTTTCGAAAAACGAAACAGATTTTTTTATATATAGCTAAACAAGTTTTCGGTAACTTTCGAAGCACATTTTTAAGAACTTTTTGGGTCATTTCAATTTTATAATGTTCCGAGTACTTTTTTTTTATAAAAAAAAACTCACAGCAAATGTGAAAATATGTGAATATATAAAATGTAGTTGTTCTCTTCACATGTTCATATGACATCTAAACAATTTAACGTAGAATACACATGCAAAGCATATCTGGTTAGATGACAAGAAAAATACAAAACAAATATTGTCTGTAAGATAATATTAGTGAAATAAGACTAATTTTATGATTGAACCTAATCAAATTGAAATAAATATATACATAACTGCATTTAACTAATAAAATTTTTTGTTCATGATCTTTCACATAAGACACAAAAAATATTTGTTCAAACTACCCTTTGTTGACTATAAATAGAGGGACTTCCTTTCATTTTCCAACCACAATTTTTTCTAATCTTCTACTCTTCTTCTTCTTGCATTTTAATTTTTTTTGTGTAATTTATTTCCGTTTGAGTGAGTTCAAAGTTTAGCGGAATATGAGGTACCACTATCCGGATGAAGTAAGTCGTTCTATCCTAAGAGGGAATATTTCATAACCTTGAGTACTTGAGGAAAATAATATAATTTTGATGATATAATAATTATTTTTTGCTTAATATAAATATTAGTGTGTAATGTTCCAATATATGAAGTTAACATGATGTAGTCTAAATGCATTTGTTTTTGTTAACAATTTTATCTTCTGATGTAGATGTATGCTTCTGAAAATAATTTTCCAAAATTTAGAGAATTATCACGATTCGTTGTTGATGCTCAAGACAAAAGAATAACTTTACGCATTTATATGAATGACATCTAAACAATTTAACGTAGAATACATATGTAAAGCACATCTGGTTAGATGAGAAGAAAAATACTAACCAATTATTGTCTATAAGGTAATATTAGTGAGATAAGACTAATTACATGATTGAACCTAATCAAATTGAAATAAATATATACATAACTGCATTGAACTAATAAAATTTTTCATTGACCATCTTCATATGTTTGCGTGAATAAGAGATATATGACGATCCACATTGAACATTAACAAAAGAACCTGCAATATTATTTTTTGCTAAGCTTATTATTCAAATCTTCGCTTAAATAAGCAATACTATTTACCATAACATATATTTTGAAATTGGTAATCACGTGCAACGCACGTGTTAGAAAACTAGTATATATATATATATATATATATATATATATATATTTACTAGATTGGCAATGAGCCGTGCCGAGCACGGGCCCAATATATTTGGTTTCAATGTGTGTTTATCCGATAAACACATTACTTAAATAGGTTTATTACATTTAGCAAAATGACAGAGAATTAACATGGGTAAGAAAGTAATATTCTCATATACATGTGAGAAAGAGATAAGCTCGAGTTAAGTCCACGAGACGTCTACCCATTAAATCATTACTATGTATATCAATCAGTTCTAAAACATCATTACAACAACTAAGACTAAATAAATACACCAAAAGAAAAGAAGAACTTTCCAAGAGCACTTGGTAGAGCAGAGCTCCCAGAAGTGACTCATTTCGCCAACAAAAGCTATAAATCATACAATTTTATTTTGATGAGAACCCCAGCTTACCAACTAAGGATGCACCAACATTTGGATGGAAACCAATCAATGTTTCAGGATTGGCAAAAACCTGCAGCTATCATAGCAATAGTTTAATTAACCCGAAGTCCATAAGGAAGCTATATAAGGAACCACTTTAAGTGTTTTTTGCAAGGATATAGCCAATACATTCACTTTAACTATCACCTATTCCACAGTCCAAATTTAGTAGACCAACACAACGAAAATCACATAATTTATTGTAAAGAAAGAAATCAAGCAGTCACTTAAATGTCGATGAATCATAATTTTTTAACTTTTTTCTGGCATCTCACCACTAAATAAGTTGATAGTAATTCCAAGACAAAAAAAAAACTAAGGAGCCACGCTGCATAAGCATCGTAATAGATATTTTGCATTATTAGGGAATTTAAATGTCAATTTTCCGAGCCAATAGTATGACTCTCAGATAGTATCACTTATACTAAGTGGGAATAGAAAATGTAAAAGCTTTAATTATATTTGAGAAGTAACTAAATGAAGTTGTAAGCAAACATAGATATCTATTGGGCTTAGAGCAATGAGCAAAATAAAATGCATTCACAATAAGAGAATGTTTCTTACTTGCAACGATCAAGGCGGGGCCAAGTAACCCGATGTAAAATGGAGGCTATGATTTGTTACTTTATTTTCTCTTTCAGAATGTTCAAAAGTGAAGCTTAAAATAAGGTGAGAGTGTCGGAAACTACAAAATTGAATTTAATTTCTATCGGCACTACGACACCACTTTAATCAGCATCATCCAAGAATTAGTGTCACACCACAGAAACAACTCAAAAGAATAGAAAAATTAATGGAAATCCAAAGTAGGACCTAACATATACCTTACAGATGGAGAACTAAGTGAGTACAGTAACCCGTGCACGATTCCTAAGAATCTCATCAAAACAAAGAGCTCTCAGGCTCTTAGTTGCGCGGACTCTTCACTTTTGATGCCGCACCCGTCTCGGATTCTTCAAAAATACACTACTTTTGGCAAATCCGACACGCACCCGTTGGCATTTTTGAAGAGTCCGAGCAACATAGTCACACTAAAGATGACCAGCACCAAAGATAATCTTATAAAATATATGTAATGTAAATCTTATGTCAGCGAGGTAGCCCGAAATAAAGGATGAAGAACTTTTATTACCATGAAAGCACGGGTGGAATCTAGACCAGAGGTAGGTTCATCGAGAAACAGGGTGATTGGGCCGTGAATGATACCAATTCAGATTGAAACTCGTCATTTTTCACCACCAGAGACTCCACGGTGGCACTTCATTGCCGATTACAATTTTGGTGGCACTTTAGAAGTACAGTTGATGTATTAAAGTTTGAACCCTAGCCTTCTTCATCGATTTTGACAAAGTCTCTGGATGTCAAGAATTTTTCAAGTGAGAAAATATTAACTCGACTTCTAATGATTTAAGAAATTAGCAAGCCCCTCAAAACACCATAACTTTAAAGCGTGAGTTTAATGCTAAAAATCTTGAAGACTCGACCTATCAAACATAAATGCTAGACCCGTCTCCATTCATAATATAGATCATATCACACATATCAACTTATTTTCACCATATTTACAAATTACAACACTACTGTGGCATTAGTTGAAGTAGACATGTCCTAAAGAGGAGAAAGAATTAATTTTACCAGTGTCTTTTGTCATTTTCTGTTGTGATAACTGAGAAAGCAAACTTAGGTTTGATCTTGCTCTCCTCCTCAAATTTTAAACTTTTCGAATACTTATTAACCCAAAGATTGTTGTTTAAATTCCCTCAGATTTGCTCTCCAAAAACTCCTCCTCTCCATTGTTAAAAGTATCAATACTCACCATCCCTAAATGGGCAGCAGATTCCAAAGCCGCACAAAATGCCTGCTGCAAGAATATCAATATCAGTACATAAAGTACCAACCTTATGATCCAATTAGCTTGTATTCAAACAAAGGGCTGAACATCCTTGATTTCACATATAATTTATCGACATCATAAGTGAAGTTATCTTATTGCAATTATCAAGCAATGGAAAAATACGATATGTTTGAATATATGCGCACAAAGAAGTTTGCGTGAATATAGATATATTCATTGATGAATCTGAAGGCAATTTCTTCCCATTAACAACATTAGCAGAAATTTATAGGTGGACAGTCGTGATTTAATTTCAACAATGTCACCTGCGTTATTTTCTAATCCCCATAGAAATTCAGCAATTCATTTGTTAAAAGAAATAAAAGCACTTGAACTTTGACAATCTAATTACAAAAACACTTCCATTTAAAGAAGGCAATAAAGGTGCACAAACTTTATTGAAAAATGTATAAAAAGTTTTATTTAGTGAGCCGGAGTCAATTTTTTCTAGAAATTTTGGAAAATTCTAAATAAAGAATAGAATGTTCAATGGTATTATAAAGAACAGAATGTTCAATGGTATTAAAGAACAGAATGTTCAATGGTATCAATATGCATTATGAATAATAGCCTCTTGGCATTATAGTTTTGTTGGATGTATGCACAATATGACATAAAGATGCAGAGATATCTATCTTGTTACCTGTAACATGAGATATCTTATAATTAAATTATTACAATAATCTTTTTTTAATATGTAGAAAAACAGGCAGTAGTGCTACTTGTTTATTCAAAGAAAAAGTAGATCCGTAAGCCAGCAAGTCAAATGCCAGAAGTTGAAAATAAAATACTAATAAATATACAAAACGTACTCAAAGTGACATTGTTGATCAAAACAAAACGAAAAGAATATCAATAAGAAAATATTTGATGATAATACCTTGTGTGTTTAGTGCCCCAAGTCTTAAACAATAGCCCCAAAATTACTAAGACAAAATAAATTGACTTTCTTCTCAAACTGACTTCACGATAAAGATAATCCTGCCACAACCTGATAAGGAAAATGACAACATAAAACTTCAAATAAGTTAAGCGAGGCATATTATCAAACAACTTGGATGCACAATGAACTTTAAATTTATGCCATCTTTGATAGCTTAGATTTTTGTCAAGACATCTAAAATTACACTAATTAATTAGTTACAAAAGACAACATTCATCAAAGATAATACATCTGCAAATCGGACAGTTACTAACACGCATGTAGCAATCTTAGCTAGAAACTATATAAAAATACTAAAATATCCATATCAAATTGTGATTAATTCTTCATAATAAAGCAAGACCAAGAAAAACCCAATCTATATTCCTCAAAGTAAAGTTGAATCTGAAAAATTTGAAGTGAGCAATATGATAGAAACTTGAATAACAAAAGCAAGACAAACATAATAGTGAAGCATAGTTAGAATTCATCCTAATTCGCTAAAAATTGCCGGCGAGTGAGAGATTCAGAGAGTATAGAGTTCAATATTTTCTCCATCTACGGGGAAGTTCACAAATCACAAAGCCGCAAGATAAAAGACAATCAAAGAATAAACGATGTACTAAAAGTCTACAGCAATAATATACTCAATTTTACCCTTACCTTGAGAGATAGAGACGTTGTTTCCGATGATGTAGTCGAAATAGTTCATTCTATTTTCTTTTGGTAGTTCAATCCTGAAATTTCTTTGTTTCTGTATTTCTAGAGTATGAGACATGAGATTGTGACCTGTTATAATTGATATAACTCTTAAATTTCGCAGGAATTTGTAAAAAAAAAAAAGATAATCCAAAGAGTAAAATATATAAAATAGATATTTCATATCCATCAGAAAATTTGATGTCTCTTAGGACTTTCAAATGGAACAAAAACACATATTTATAACATGCAATGAGATGAAGTATTAAAAAAGTACATTCTCGATTCCATGTCGTGAAGAGGAATTTAGGGCAAAATTATTCTACAAAGCAAAATAATAAGTTGATGTTTCCTAATTCAGAGTATGAACAGGAAACTATGAACTTACCCCAAGAGGAATATCGATGATTGAAATCTCCATTGAATCCATTTGACACAAAACTCAGCTTCTCTACTGGGCTGAATTTTGTCAATATCTGGACAACAACATTCAATTATCAAATTAAAAAATCTCTAAATAAATTTAATCCATTTATCAAGGCCAATAGAAGATAAAATCCCAATTAAAATGAAATAAATTTAGAGAGTCCGAGATGAAGAAGCCCAAAATTCATACCAAAATTTATTAGTGCAGAACCCTAAAATTGAAAACACAGGGAATGAAGAGATTCAAAAATATCAATAGTCAATAGAAGAGGATAAGAGAAAGAGAAACCACAAACCTTCGAAATCTGAATCATCGAAGCACTGAGACTCAGTTTTGCTCTTTGAGGGGTGATGGTGAGGCCTTGAGGGTACACGTGGTTTGATGAAAAAAGTAGTGCAATTACACGTGTTGAATGGAAAAGACCAAAGAAATAGATGCAATTTTAATCCAGCACAGCTTTACAGTACACTATATGCTGCCTTCGGTACAACTATTTATTGTTCTGTTAGTCCCAACCCTTGTTGCCTTATAAATAAGGGTAATATATATATACGAACTCTATGCTAGTTTGTATTGGATTCACACAAATATATAGCTCACATAGTCTATTGTCGATCCTTGTAATTTGATTCTAACCTCATAAGTAAGGTATTTTTTTTTGCACACAATTGCCTATGTCTTAAACGCAAGACATAGTTTAGTGTTATCGGCAATCCACTGTACAACTCGTACAAAATAATTAAATATATTTTTATGTACCCAAGACTTTTTGGGTCCATTTGAGTTACTAAAATAAGGACTTCAAGGCTATGGGTGTTTTGCCTAAAACTTGTTTTAGTAGCTTCTCTAGGCCTTTATGAAAAAAATATTTTTATGTGTATTTTGAACATGATAATAATAAGTTATATATCATGAATGTTACAGCCTCTAATTGTTGTTCTTTAAGTTAACTTATTTGAATAATAAGTCAACTTAGACATTCCACTACTTTGTGCCAATAGTTTTGAGAGTTTACAAAAGAAATACAAGAAGAATTTTGAGAGGACATAGAAGGGGAAGACAAAATAAAAAATAAAACAAATTATTTGATCAAGTTTTGAATGGTTCCTTTTTGAATCTATTGAAAATAATTTTGAGTATTTAACTAACAATTCTGAAAAATCTGGTGAATTTATTCTCAATGGATCAATAATGCGAGATGACAAAGTATTGAATAAATAGTCATATTCCATTTTTATACACATTAACTAGATAATTTTGCTCACGCTTCGTGCGGTAATCCATGACCTAATTAAGATTATGAATAATTATTTCTTAATATTCGAATATTAGAAATTTGGTATTGTCACATATATTAAGAACATGAAAGATTATAAAATTCTTATTGTTTAATGAATTCTATCTTCTACATATTTTCAATTATAATATTTGTCCTTGATATAATTGGCTTCTCAATATTGAATGATTTTTCATATATTAGTCAATTATCACTTTCTCTATTGTTTGATTTATGTGCATGCAAATAAGATACTCAATTTGATGGCTTATTATATTCATTCTTTAGCTAGTAGCAGCTAGTTTTCCTTACAGCTCTTCCATGTACTGTCCATAAACACCCCTAAATATGTCATAATAAATTTATCATGTGAGAGATATCAACCTCTCGTATTCTCAAATGTGTGCTCCTTGATTATTTTAGAGCTACTATATCATAAAAAGATCTCATTAAGATCTCATTATAGATGTGGCACGCTCAACACCGATAACTAGGACTCTACAGACACGGCTTCATAGACTCCCTAGGACTCTTGAACTCTGCGCTCTGATACAAAGTTTGTCACGCCCCGAGGCTACACCCTGGACGTGGCCGGCACTCGGAGACCATTGTTGGCCCCAAGCGAACCCTTGGCCTGGTTTTCTTAACTCAGTGGAAAGCTAACTCAACATAATAACTCCATGCAATGCAAGGACATAAAACAACTTAACTGATAAAATCTGGCCAAAAAGGCAACTCGAGTCCCAAAATAGAATATTTACATATATACATAGATGAGAGACTCAAAACTAACTAACTGACTGACTGTCTATGAAGCCTCTATAATACTGAGATGGATGTTGGGACAGACCCCGCAACATCCTAATAAAGCAAAAACTAGGAACACAAAATAACAGAGTCCTCCGGAATGCAAAGAGGTTCACCACTGACTCTAGAGTGCTCAACTGGATCAACGGCGTGCTGGATGCTGATCCTAGGTACCTGTGTCTGCATCGTCATAAGATGCAGGCCAACTGACATCAGTACATTGAATGTACGAGTATGCGAGCTGGAAAACTAAGCAACAAAAGCTAGAAGCAAAATCTGGAATAAATGGAAAAGTTTACCTGGCTCAACCTGACTAACTTCTTTCAATATAAGGCAATTTAAAACAAGTGCGATATAAAGAAAGGTTGTTTAAAACATGCTATAAACTCTGTGTGTATACAAAGATACAATAAGCCTGAGATATATATAGAAATACAAATGAACTGATGTATATAAAAATACAATAACTTCTGTGTGTATACAAAGATACAATAACTTATGTGGGAGTTTCTCTAACCGACAACCATCACATAAGAGCTATAGTGATAATACAACGATCAACCTCACACTGCCAAAGCATCCTATACCTGGCCAAAGGTATAGGACCTGAACTGCCTACTGGATCCACTAGTCTAATCTGAAAAGGATTCATCTAAAAAGTATGAACCTCTTCTACCCATGATGGCTACATGGTTCTATGGGGGCTGTGGGTTCTTTGAACGCTCCCCTAATTCGGTGCTCGATACTACTCCCAAAAATGTACTGACTCTTATGTTTTTAAAATATGTCTTCCTGCTGTTTTGAGATAATTACTCAAAAACTTAGCTCAAAGGCTATCTTGGAAATTTCAGTTTCCTCTCTTTCTTCATTTAGAAAGCGATAACTCTTTTTCTGGAAAACTAGCCAAAGGCTCTTTGGAAATCTCAGTTTCCAATCTTGTTTAAATGTGAAAACATTTCTTTAAAACTTCTTTTGAAATACTTAGTTCCCTAATAACTTTTGAGAAATGAACTCAACTTTATAATCTTGACTTAACTTGAAACTCTATACTCTTTGCTTGACTTGAAACTTGAGCCTTAAAATGAAGTTAAAATGTTCAATAAAGACTTTTGAACAACTTTAAAGACTTGCTTGGACTTACTTCTTAACTTCTAAGATTGACTCTATCTTCACTTGACTTTGATCCAAACTTTCCTCGAATTGGATTATGGATTCCAAGGGTAATGATCTTATGTTTATGGATGAGTTCGGGAGGTTTAAACGCAGCTTAGAGTGTTGAAAACAACTATAAAACATTGGTACATTACCAAGGAACATGTATGAAAAAGGTGGAGAAGGAATGGGAAAGGTTGGCGTCCTTGGCGCTCTGAGAGGCGCAGGACTCCAGCCCTCAAACTTCAGAGGGGCCTGCTGGACGCTCTGAGAGACGTGCCACCCCAAGGGCTGGGCTTCAGAGCCCCTTTTGGGGCTCGCTGGCTGGCGCGACGCCCCAGCCCTTTTCCCCGAAAACTTGACTTTTCTCCTTCATTTTTCCAACTCTAAACCTCCTTAACTTCAATGGATCCAGCCCCAAACACTTAGAATCACAAACCCCTCAACATACAATAGATTTCAACTCACAAACACAACCGGAAACATGTCCCAAATCAACAAGAAACTTCAACAACAAAACCACAACTTCAACAACCACAACCAACAACTTGAACAAACACAACCAAATCTTTTCTCAAAAATTAAAACGAGTTTAGCGTGTGGGGGAAGGAACCAACCCAACACTATGATCTCACATACCTTAATAGGGATCACCCCCGATGAAATCCACGATGATCTCTACGAAGTTTGCTTTTTCTTCTCCTTTCTCCTCTTCTCTCCTTTTCTATCAAGAACCCTAACTCTCACTTTAAAAAGGAAAAACTGATTTAAAATAAGTCTAAAACCTTAATATATATCCAAAAGAAAAGGCTAGGGAAAAGACCAAAATACCCTTACAAAAATCGGGTTAACTGCCCTGCCAACAGCCCAACTTCCAAAGGGCATGACTCCCTCATACGAACTCGAAATCGGGAAAACTCGGCGGCATTGGAAAAACCATTCCACGAACTTTGCAAACATAACTAGAACTACACCTAACTCATCTTGAGCTAGGAGTTATAACTGTTCAAAGTTGGCCAAAAACTCACTTTTTCCCATACTTAACCAAATTTTCCAGATTTTTAATTCCTTCCAAAAATGACTATTTCCAATTCTAAGCCTCTTCATAGTTATTTCAAATTTCCGGATGTTACATTTTTAAACCACAAATTTCTAAGTTTTCTAATATTCTTCTTTTTAACACCCGATTTAGTACATATTTTATATTTCATACTATATTTTTTTAAAACAACTTTATGGACCATTAGTCCGATTTATTGATTATTTCAAATATGTTGGATAAGTATTAATCCCAAAAGTATTAGTCCAAATCCTATAAAAAATTTTCCATACTATATTTATTTATATTATAAAAAATATTAAAAGTAGACACCTTTTCACATTGAATGATTGTGACTTTTTCAAAGAGTTGTAACTTTTTCGAAGGATTGCTACTTTTGCATATCAGCGAAACTTTATAACATTTTGGAGATATGATTAATACAACAACATTTCAACTTTCAAAATATATTAAAAGGTACAAGTACCTTATCAAGTTGCAGCGAAATTTATTCTCTCTTTGTTGTGTCTTCCTCAATTTTGATTCCATCAAGAATGCGTAAAAAAAATTCATAACAAAAAACACAAAATTAATTCAATACAAATTCATAAAAGATAAAAGTTTAAAGATCATTGAATAAAACACTAACGTAAGTTGTCGAACATAGTAATGGCAGGAGGAAAAATCCCACAAAACGAAGTAGGTTCGAACCAAAAAATTTCATGGTTGTGATCAGTTGCTTAAGAATTGCCTAGTTATAACGGTTTTTGTTTTGACATGTTGAATGAAGGAAAAACCTACAAGGAAATTATAGTTTTGTTTTTTTTTTTTTTTTTTGTGAAGATCCGAAGTGGACTTTCAAGGAATTGGTGAAGTTTCATAGAAATTAGGGATGAAATTTATCATGAACAAGAAGATACAACAATGAGTATGGTTTGTCTATTTTTTATAGGTAGTTCTTGAAGAGACGCAACTGAAGGAATACAATAATTTGAAGGGATACATGAGTTAAAGAAACGAGTTTAAAGGTTAAAACAAAATAGAGGTAAAAAATCAAAAAGTAAGAAGGAAACATAAAAGTAAATTCCTGACTTCTAAGGTGTCACGTAGGCGGA